GGGGGGGGGGGCTTTCTAAGCATTCCGTGGGCGGAGACCTGCCTGAAACGGACGAATTTTCGTATATATATATTTTTTAAATACATGTTATTTTTTGCAGCAACAAAGGTCCCAGATGGGAACAACCGAGTCCGAGTTTGCAGGTAGCGGAGAATACCATCAGACCAGCACCGATCCAACTACTTGGGATAATCCGGCATCTGATCCGGATCTTTCAGAAATTTTGGATCAAGTGATAGATTTTGTCCCGGATCAATCAAGCGCGGGTAATTATATTACCGATTAAAATATTAAACAACCATTTCTTTTAACTTTTGATTATCTGCATATATGTATTTGCGTATAACATTTTTATATTTGTAATAGTCATAGACATAGAAAATATAACGGCACGAATATCATTGACGTGAACTTACGCAATATAACAGCCAATCAAATTTAGGCATAATTTACCTCGTCGCACCGTCCTGCAGTGGCTTTCCCCCCGCAATGATATGCTCGGTCCCTATATTTCTATGTTTATGGTAATAGTATATTAATTTTTATAGTTTATGATTCACGTTCATGATACATAAAGCTTTGACAAGTTATTTGTTGGAATTTAAAATTGGACATCTTAAATACATATGTAAACTTTCGCTGTCACGCTACTAATTAAACAAATTTAAATCTGATTTTTGATAATTGTAATAACTCGACAGGTTTATTACTTGAAACATGATTCGATTTGTAAACAATAATGCATTTGAATAACTCTGTGCGAATGTTCTTGCAATAATCAGCTTTCTGCAAGGAGCATAATGTAATTGAGATGACATGTGTGGCAGCAAAAGTAATTGTATCATTATAAAAAGATTATACTTTTTATTTAATAGATACGTCTCCGATAGCGAATCTACTAAATCCTCTTATCGAAGCGCCTCAGAATGTTATGAACGAGAAAATGGCAATTAACGCTATCCAGAAGTCGTTGATGTTATGCGAGACTGCCGTGAATCCCACGTCTTCCACCATAACTATGCCTGTTACTCCTCCAGCCTATTCCACTGCGGTAAGTTTTCTTTTTACAATCAAGCCATTAATATTTTACACTAGTTTTGTCCATCTTACATTTTAAATGTATAGACGTATATCTCAATATATATGTCTCACCTTATAATGCGCATAGAATGATGGATCATTGAATTTTATTTCAGTTGGGTACTACGCCTGTGACAACTAGTCACAGTTACCAGCCACCTCCAATGTACCAACAGCCTAGAATCAGGTTCACTCAGCCAGGCGTTAGACAGACCAGTCAATTCACGCAACAACAATTGCAATTACACCAACAACAACGTTCGAAGCTTAGCAACGTTCTGCAACACCAGCAGCAGCAACATCAACAAGAGCAAATGAAACAACGATTATTACAACAACAGAAACAACAGCAGATGGTTATCCCGTCGAATGCCACCGCGACGGATCAAATCAATAGCAGTATTCATAACATCGATAATCTTCTGAACAATACTGTTGCACCACCAAATGTATCGTTGCAGGTATGCAGTTTATTACAAAAGTAAGACATATTGGATCATATCCAATGAAGATATTGCGATTGTCATGCTTTGCATTAAAGATTCGCAAAATATACGAAAATAATTGCTGTGATATTTTTTTTTTATTCAGCGATCGAGTGTCCCAGATTCGCAAATCTCTCCAGGATATGGGGGATCCGTCCAGATGCCTTCTGGTCATCGACTCGCTCACTCGTACTCTCATCCGTCAACGATACCGCAACAGTAAGTATTCCGTAACGTTTGTATACATAATTGTAAATAATGATTTTGCTGTGCATATGTATATGAACTCTTTCTTTTACAGTCCCATTGTGAATAACAACTTCAACAGTGGGCAACAAGTGTCCGCCCCGGCAAGACTCTCGCCACATTCTCCGGCGGGTATACTGCCGTTCTCTCACCCGCAACCATTATCGCCACGGGTGACGCAAGTGAGTGCGAAAACATTATTGCTTTATCAGATCGATAAGAACAGAAAGGTATACTTGTATTCCAACTGCTTTTATAAATATTAATTAGAACTGATTAAAGATTGGTTGATTTTCTATTTTATTCAAAAATACACAGAATTATAAATGGATAAAGAACTTAAACTAATATTTATGCAAATGGATTTACGCTTGATAAATGTCAGATACAATGTGTTAGAGATAAGTGTTAATGCAACGTGCAAAAACGAGCTTGAACTATCGTAAAATTAGTTCAAGTTTATTGTATCGTTATTTTGACTTTTATTATCTTTTTAGGAATATCCTCGCGTATTTCTTCAAGTATTTTTAGTACATTTAATTGTAATATATGCGCTAGGGCAATTACGGCAACACAACGAGATTATTCAACGTGAACCAGGTGAGGCCGCAGCAGCAGGTCACAGCGCAGCAACAACTGCAGCAGCAGCAGCGATCGATGCCCTCGCCGGGGACGCCAGCATCCGCGCGGCAATCACCGTTTCCTAACGAAACGTTTCCTCCACCCACGTCCCCCACGGCCAGTCAGTTTACACCGGGTCCCACAACCGGTGCGCCAAACCCGTCAGCTCAGTATCGGCTGCAACGAGCCACGTCTACGCCTTCTGCTACGACTCAGTTGCCAGGTATGTATTCTCATACGGTTTCTCATATTAATAGACTGCGTTGGATTTGAGGTGATCCAGTTATTACGTCTATGATTGATAATCTTTGAATATGATTGGCTCATGGTGTGTTACACTAGAAATAATTGCGACGCTTTTTTATCTCTCTTATTATCTTTAATTTTTTTATTTATTGTGTCTCAAACACAAGGTTACGTAAATTTATTTTTTATTCGCATAGTTTAGATTTAACACAAATTTCTTTTTTTTAAATAATTTTAATATTTTAAAATAATAATTAACACGAGGAGTTTAAAATTTAGTGAATTATAAAAGTTGAATAAGATTAATTCAAATATTTAAAATAATCACTTTTAAGTTGATATTTGCGACATTACATGTGGTAATGTTAATCGGTCAATTTCTGGTTTTATATATATGACTTTATTTAAAGAAAACAAAGAGATCTCTTAATTTATTATAAAATGCTGAAAAATACCTATCGCAAAGGCATTTTCGATATCTTTAATCATATCTAATTATAAAAAGTTGTTTTGTTTATATATAGTATTTACTTGCAATCTTTTGCCAGAAACGTCCAATAAAAATAGCATCGTCAGATAAATTGAAAGATTTATACGCAAGTCAAAGATATTTGGAAGTTTTATTTATTTAGCGTACTTGCTTGTAGCTTTCAGCTGGCAGAACCGGGATTCGCTTTCCGGAGGTACATTATTCAAAGTCGGTGCGTGCTGTTTGATTAATTAATTTATTTAACGTATAGATTTCGATCTCGATATTATGTGCGTGATTATTGACAGCGAACTTTGGCATGATATATGAAAGCGAAATAGAAGCGTTATTTGTTAAAGCTGGCCGAGGACAACCCGGGCTATACACGATTGATGTTACAGGTGGAATTGGCTCGCCTCGGCACTACGGCGGAATAAGTAAGGAACCGCTTCTTTCACCTAGTCATTCACACTCGGCTTGCCCGGCAACACCTACTCACAGTCAACACACCAATACACAACACTTCTCCAGTCAACAACATACCCCATTGCTATACCAACAACACACCAACGCCAACACTCTCAACACGGCAGACATGCAGAACAGTCAGTTCTGTTACGATCGCTCGTCAGTCCCGCTCTATCCGTCTGGCGGGGAGGCGCAGGATGCCAGGTCACTGCCTCCCGGTAATCCTGTCAATCACCAAATGGGTGGTAAGTCATATGACTTTTTAATGTCATGTGACACTTCATCATTATCATTATCACAACCCCGTGCTACTTCGTCAATAAACTATAATTATCACCCTTACCAGCACTTCAATTCCCAATATCACTGCCACCAACAACCGCGGCGAAAACTGAAACAGCCGCAAAAGCGGCAACGGTCGTCAAAACGGCAAAAGACGATGTAATGCATGAATTGGGCTCATGGAAACAAATAATTCTCTTTCATGTTCACTCTTCCCATTTTCACTGTCTTTCTTTTTTCTACTATATCTATATTTTGACTTTCACTTTATATATATCTTTTATATATATCAATATCATATTCGGATATTCATTCGTCTATCTATTACTCGATACACCTCAACAAGTGTCTTTTAATGTGCTTAAATAATCCCTTCCTGAAAACCCCATGTGCCCAATAATGTTTTAAATCAAAGCCCCTTCCAAGAGTTATTATTTATTTATTAAGTTTATATTGTACTCTTTAATAAAGTTGTATGTTTTAATAAAGTAAATTATACTTTTTTTTCGCGAACCCGATTGATTATCTCAATGCGCTGTGTGCGCATGAAAAAAATTTATAAATATATTTTTATAATTAGAAAAAGAAATATATGAAATAAAATATATATATTACTTGGGTCACATATCATTTATTAAGCACAAATCGTCAAATTCGTGAAAATCATGATTGTCTTGATTATTTGAAGAAGCCACACTTTTATGCATTTAATCTAGCATTTTCCATAAATATAAGATTGTGTGTTAAATGTTGCATGTGATGCTTTCTTTATACTTGCAATTATCCATCAAATGTTATAACTATAATCATAATGTTGAATGCTCATCATATTTTCGTGACATCCGTTCCATCTCTTGGAAAAATATTATTTATATCAATATACACTGCAACATATACACGGACACAATCAGATTCAGCGCGCTATATATTTGCACCCCCCTTAATATTAGAAATATAGACTGACTTAGATAGATGTGATATATTAGAAAAAATATAGATACCTCTAAACCTTTACATTAATGTACTCTCTCCTTTCATGTGTTTCTATTTGTTAAGGCCATGGGGAGGGAGGTTTAACTAAGTTAATGTAATTAATGTAAAGGTTTACCAGATCCCTTATGTCGATCACGTTGCACCGAGATTGATCAAACTTTAAATGAATCGACTCAATCGACGTAAACGTATGCGCGTGATTTTTATATCATACGAATTTTGTATTATATGAAATCGTTATATACGAAGTTGTAATTTTTGCTATTTGAGAAAGTTCATCGTATTCATATTATTTCCCTAATTCTTTGATTGAATAAAATTGTCGAAAATAATGCCATTATGTGTGAATAATATGATAACGTTAATAATCGAACATTGCAAATGTCATTATCATTCATGTATCATCGTATATAATCACAGATAACTTTGCTTTAACGATATCAAAGTTTCTGACACGGAATTGCGCTATATTATATTCGGCTCTGTATTATATTGTGATAATTATTAGGAGATATATGTAGTCCTTTAATCTTGACTCATCGGCATCGAGCAAATCCTCTATAGTCGAACTCTCCTAATCTCAACTCACAGAGACGATAAATATAGTAAGAATAGGCGGGGAAAGCGTGAAGCTTGAAATGTAAAAAGGAAAAAATGTAAAAAAAAAGAAGGAAAATAGTGGTAGTGCATTCGTCTCTTTCTAACATAATGGAATGCGGACGTCCAGAACTGCTAAGCATTCATTGTGACAGAGAAAGAGTATTATTTTCTCTTTTTTCTTTTTTACCTGAGTTTTGTCACTATTGTTGATATGGGATCCGCTCGGTCTATTCTTACTATGAGCAGACAAATTCTCTATAGAGGAACCTCTATAGAGAAATTTTTTCCTAATCTCAATTTTTGAAACTAAGCAAACTATCGTGCTCATCCATAGTCTCACTCGTCATTTTCATTTTATGCACGCGTGATCAAATGGCAAAGTAATAAAGGAGCTTCGCGAGAAGAGAAATTCACTATACGTTTTATTTAATCGAGAATAAAGGGGCGGATCGATATTAGAAGAGTCCGACTGTAATATTGTCGTAGTGTGTGCAAAGTGTATTTATAAATTAAAAACACTGTAGCGTAAGCTTGCATTAGGATTTTAATGACATTGACACTATTAAAAGTATTTTCAGGATTGTGGAAGGAAGGGCAACAGTATTTTTCATGTATCTTTCTTGCGAGGCGCAGGCAAATAATTTAAGTGGCAAATGTGATGTCGGATTTACTCCATCTTGATCATCATTCTCTCATTGTCACACGTGTTGTGTTCATCTGTGTAATATAACATTTCAATGTAAAAAGATGAATTCAAGCACCGCTTATTTCTACGCGCTGTGGAAACATTTACTAACACGACGAAGCCTTTTTATGTACAGTGCATCGAGCTTACGTGATTAATATTTTTATATTTTGCGCATCAGCCCCTCCTCATCGATCTCTATCATAATGTATGCACCACTTGTCTTGTAAAGGATTTCGTCATATGCAATTTTTATATCTAGTATATAGGATGGTCTGGGGAGATACATTGTGCACTTTCTCTTAATTACAGAGGTAAAGAAAATAGAATATTATTTACAAAAAAGAATAATGACTCTGTAATATGAAATGGAGAAAATAGAGAAAAATTGAGCTAATAAAAGCCAACGCATGGTAATTAAAATCCTGGAAGCATGTGAGATATTTTTTTTTTAATAACAAGTTCGTTATTGGTAGCGAAAATTTTCACTTTTTGGTTTCTAGAAAAAAGTTACACGTCTGCTCTCGTGGATGAAAATAAGATATGAATGGGAAAAAACCACTTGTTCAGAGAAAGTACACGATGTAGGAATTTTTTTTTTTTAATATCTTGTTGGACGACAAATGAAGTTGCCTCTATTTTTAATCGAGAATTAAATTTATCACATATAAAATGTATTTACTTTCTTTATATATTCCGAAATATTGTCGCAGAATTTTTATGCTATAAATATAATCTTTGTTTATTATGAGAGAAAGACAGTAGTTGAGTAAATTTCGTAAACTCATAATGTAATCATTTTCAATTAATATATATTGATAAGATCATAGGCAACACAGATAGAAATTGAAAACTGTGACGTACGAAAAGAGAAACACGACATGCAATTGCAATGACGACTTATAGAAATTATTTTTATTGTCTCAGGTAATGCCACCTCGGAATTTGTGCGGCAAGAATTGCGGGCGATTGTCGGTGCGCGAACGCAACAGCAGCAGCAGCAGCAGAGAGTGCCCAACAACCTACAATCTTCTGGTCAAGTTTCTCAGGACGATTTTGATGCACTTGGTCTGACATTTGAAATGTCTTCTGCAGGTATGTGTGCATTATATACATCCGTATATATATCCATATTCCGTAATTTAAATTACTTGGATGTCATATAGAAACGATGAAATGATTAGCTATACAATTGAATTTCTTTGATTGAAAGTTCACATAGCAGAGTTGGAAATTTTGAAAAATTAAATTTTTCTATAATATTTAAATTTTATATTTAACATTTTTTTTTCTTTTGATGCGCGATGGCAATTATGACATTGTTTGAAATTAGAATAAGAGTATTTATAAAGTTTTGCCTATTACCAGATTATCGCGCTTTTGATAGAAATATATCATACATACATAAGTTTAATTTGTAAATAATTATAAATAGCAAATTATATTATAATTATTACGAATTATATTCATAGATAATAAGAATTATACTTTCGCGTTGAAGATGTTATAAATATGAGATACTTAGCAATCACTTATTTGCAAAATGTGAGATTTTATAGTACGCTTTAAACTTTAAGCGTACACGAAACATAAAATTAAATTACGATTATTTGAAGGTGTTTTACTGTCGCGATAAGGCAAGGAAAAATTTAATAAGTTTGCATCCCTCTGCATTTCTATAGAAAAGTATCATCTCTTTTTTTCTCCTTGAATTTTATCGAATCGCAATCTTTCACAACTCCAATATATATTGTAATTCCGTAGTCCTGACTTTCTCGTATATGACGTGAATTTCACGAGTGAATACTGTGAAAAAGTATTACAGGCAGTTGTGTATAGTTTCCCCCTTGTAGATCATGCACACATTTTCTAGATCTGTTATCGCACGCGGTTATTATAACTAATTACACGCATCTCCCTCAGATTTCATATTTCTCTCTTTTCATGAGATTTATATAGAAAAATTATACAAATTTCAAATATATATACGTAACGAAAATCTTTATGAGCTCTTTCAGGGTGATTCTAAATGCAAAAGACTTATCTTTTGAATAAAATTTTCTTTTTTACGTATTTGAAGTGTAAAAGTGAATTTAAAAGTATTGTTTCTGTTTTATTGAGTTTTAGAGCAAAGACACAATTATGCTATAAAGACGCATTTAATATAGATGTTGTGAAATGATGATACGAATATATATGGGGAAAAAATTTGTCGAGCAGATCTCGAAATTCTCGAAAGTTTTTATTTCGAATACGCAAAGCAGACTTATTGTTCCTTATCGGAGCAAAATATTAAGATCTTAGCGCGATAATCTAATGTTGGCGTATCTCGACGGTTTCGATAGATCTTTCACGAGAGGCAAAAACGAGGCCTCGATCGATTGAGAAATCATACGTCCATATCAATGTATAGATTGAGAGACACGTGTAATCAGCACACGTGCGTTCCTGTGATTCATTATGCGTAATCTCTCGCTTCTTATAAAGAGAGGCATAATATCTTGTTCTACAAAGATTGTGGTAACATTTACTGTTACAATGTCCCAACTAGGTGAGGCTGTGGTTAGCGATGGCCCCGCCAAGAGCTGGGCCATTGGGAGCGCCGGAAGTGCCCCCTCGTCCTCCAGGGTAAGAACCCCACACACATTCCGACAATATAATTACTTTTACATATTTTTTTTTTTTTTTGATTTTGTTATGCTATGTCTTCTTCCCTCTATACGCTTGGCTTCAGAACTGATTGTGCACGAAACATGTTTAATGATCTCTCTCTATATTATGCGCACTGAGCGTAAAACTTGTGTAGGGGATTATACTTATTTATTTTTTTTTTTTAATTTTGTATTTTAGCGCTCTCTTTACATATGCATGTGCAGGTCATTATTTGATGACTATATCTCGGCATTATTGTATATTGTTACTTTCATAAGTAACGATATTCTCTCGAAGTTTTTGTAATGGCGATAGTAGAAGATTTAATTCTTTTCTTTTTTTTGTATGCTAAAGTAGAATTTACTCTGTAGAATTAAAATTTGCTCTGAAAATTTTTTTGAATTAAGAAGAATTGATAGACTTTATTTGGTTAAAGTTTAGGAATTTCTAATTCGTTCCTGTTAGGGATTAGCTTTATAGTTATAGAATTTATTCTTACTTTTCTTTTTCTATCTTTATTTTTATTTTACTTCTCTCTCATGTCGATCAAATTAAAATTTAAAAAAGAGAAAATATCTTTTAAATTGTGTTGAATTTTAGAAAGATATTTTATATGCAATATTAAAGTATATTATAGTGAATTTATTTCTATTTTTTACATTTTTAATTAGATAAAGAAAGAAATAAAAGGAAACTCAAAAGGATTAAATATCAAATTGCAGAAATATTTTTTTTATTTATGTTAATTCTCATTTGTATTTATATTTTTTTATAACATGAATATTGCGCGACTTTTGTTAAACATGAATTTTCAATTATTTTGTCGAGTTTTCAATTATTTTATAGACTTCTAAAATTAAAAATTATGTGAAATTTCTATATTAATTTATATTGATTTTATATTTAATTTATAACAATTATTAAAGTTTATCTTCATATATAAACTGAAACGTTATATAATCTTTTTTACAAGTTTTTTCGAAACAATATTTTTATATAGATAAAAATGAAAATATTTAATTTTTCCAGAAATAAAAATTTCATTTATTCTATTAAAAAATACGGCATTTCTTTACAAAAATGGTAATCAGAGGTACATTAATGAAGATATTTAAGTTTTACACTCAGTGTTTTGCGTCCATAAGAAACGCTGTTTTCTTTTACGTAGCTATATTAAACAAGCTGATTTTATTACCACACCAAGTGGACTTTTGTTCGAGATGTATTTCATTAAAGCGCATTAGCTAAACATATTAATTGCCTTTGCATAATGTAGCGCATTCACGAGTTGCATTACATTTTGCGTAAGAACTAATTGTACTTCTATATATAATACTCAGGTTTTTTTCTACTTACGTATCAGAGATTTATGATTTTATTATTTTTATTAATATTTTAGTATTTTAGTATAAATATGGGAAAAACACATTTTTTCATATATATTGGAGTAGAAATTAGGAATAGATAGTTGATGAACAATTTTATTCTCTATTAATTTCAACTAAATATTGCTCTTTAATAGATTTCTAATTTGAAGTTTAATTATATCAAAAGATTTAATCTCATAGATTTAAAAAATGAGAAAAATAATAGTATTTAGTTGAAATTTTATTTAGAAAACTCAATTCTGAATTAGAAAATAAATTTGTGAACATGAGATATTTTTTTTCATAAATAAAATATTCATTGTAATAAAAATATAGGGATAGAAGAATTTTTACAAAAATTTAGAAGAATTTTTAGAAATTATATACTATATAAATATAAAATATAATGTTGTCAAATCTTTATACAGCTTATAAAAAGTTATACAATTGCTTTTCTTTTATACTAGAATTATTAAATTAATTTAAATTGATTTAATCTCAAATTTCTTATAATCTATATTATTATATTATCATATTCAAGTATATTATATATACATATATATGTATAAATATAAAAGAACAATTTAAATATTGAAGGCAATTTCTCTAACGTTCTCTCTAAGAAGCACTTTCGATTTTTTGATCTTTGATATTTTTTTTTTTAATTTTAAGATTTTAGAGCGCTATGCACTCATTCCCGTATTAAGCGTACATATAATCGGTGCCAAATAAAGTGTCTCCTTTCGTATCTATAGGGTGATGGTGTTGTAAGCTTCAGCTCATACAGAGTAATTAGTAATCGTACTACCATTTGTTGCATTGTATAACGTGCGTCTAGTATCGTAATGCTTTTTCACAGTGAGCCAACTAGATATCTGCGCGTTGTACTTAATTTCTTTTTTTTTTCCGAGAGCGATTGTTTGTGCATGAGGAGACTCGCTAGTGCTACAAAAAGAGGAGGTGTAGTGTATCTAGGAAGATAATCTAATTTCGAATTTATATGAATCTTTAAGTGTACATTTTACCTCTTAAATATATAGTAAAATTATGTGAAGAAGAAACTCGTCTAGAACACGCAATTATATGTCGGTAGATTTTCGACATATAGCTTCCACACAATTTTCTTAAAATAAATGCTTTTACAGCGACAGATAATTGCATTTTTGATATAATAAAAAAAATAGAAAATTCAAAATTTTCTTTAGAATTTCTCTAGAAATATTGAGGTCTAGAAATATAATTAAAATATAATATTACAAAAATATCGTACACAAATTATTATTAATATATGCTCAATTATAATAAATATTTAT